GGTGTATGATGAGTGGTGTATGATGAGTGGTGTATGATGAGTGGTGTTTGATGAGTGGTGTATGATGAGTGGTGGTTGAACAGCTGTTGAATGTCCGTAACACGCAAGTTTTGCACACTAAACTTCCTTTGATAACTACATGCCGAGTGAGCCGGTAGGTTGTACATTAGGGTAGCTACGTTCTCCTTGTATAGTGCATGCACGAGCTTGATGAGGGATTTCTAATATGACTCCTTCGTCGCTAGATTGATCCTCCCGAGATTTTCCCTACGGGTAGTTCCTTGTAAATGGGGGCGTTGAAATTCACCTCATCCCCGCGGACCCCGTAGCGTGGACTCTCAAGGTAGAGTAAAACAGTCGCTTAACGGTAGTTAGTTCAGGGTTAGCTAGGTACTTGTTAGGATCTGAGCTGATCCTGTAAAATACAAATACAAAGCAAAAACGTGCAGATGTAGAAGTGGCAACGTAGAAGCAATAGATTTTCTTCTCAGCTCAAAGGATTTCAAGCAATTCTTTTGGGCAAGGTGGCTGATTCTCAGCGGCGGTGTGGGACAAAAGGGTGAAGAATTTGCAGCGAATTCAGAGGCGACGACTATAGCATGTTTCTTGAAATTCACCGTTTTGCAACTCACTGAACGCTACTCCAGCACCGGAGATTGGAACCTGTTGAATACTGAACAGAGCTGACAACAGGTTAGCTGACAACAGGTTCCGAGAAGTTTGTTCCCGCTCAATGACGAACAATTCTCCCTGTTTGAGAGGCTGTGGCGATGCAGCGCTGGCTCCAAGGGAAAGCAGTGTGTTGGGACGAGGTGCTATCGCCCTGACGCCTTAAATGACAGTAAGGAAATAATGTTGAGAGATGTTGCCGCAAAGCACTTGTACAATATTTCCATTCGCAGATTCACAATATGATGTTTTCATATGTTTACCCCTGTCGTGGAATGTTTCACACATTGAATTCCCAGGTGTTGTTGGAAGACGCATCTCAATCCACTCGCACGAACGCGCGTCTTGGCTTCCGTGGGTCGGTCAAGGCAGATTGCCCAAGGAACGTGCCAAGTAAAAGATGTCAATTACCAGACCTACTTCAGACTTTAGAATCAGTGTTTTAATCTATGTATACTCAATTCATTGGGTCTCACATTGCGTTTTGTTTTGTTGGCGTGTGTTCTCTCATAAGGCCCAACTACTCACAAATGTCATTTTTAGTTGCTGGAGAGCTGCCACTGGCCAGAGGCAACGACTGTTTGTCATTCTTCAATTCTCGTCTTCCAGCTGCGTTTTCACAAGTGTTTCTTTGGAAGGTCAGCTTGTCGGCCAGAACAAAATATGTTGACTGCTGCCATCTTTGGTGTTTGCCCGTTGCAACGGCCATTTTCTTGGCCAGAAATTGTCAGCGAAATTGTCTACTGTAATCTTATCTGGCGATCTGCAGGCATACACACTATTCCCAACCTGCACTCACTTGTCTTCTATTTTCCTGGCACCTGGCTTTGTACGTTTGGCTGATGCCTCACCCTGGCGTCGCCGCCTCTACTATCTTGCACTGCCATGAAGTTGAAGCTAGGGTTAGCGTGGGTTTCCAGACACAAGCTGAATGGCCCTCTCGAATCTCTCATTGCAAGTAGGAGCGTTCGCGCTATAGAAGAATTTCTTGTGGGCGGCTGTGTTACACCAGACTTGCCACGTGGGATTTGGGTTTACTGCACTCACAACTGGCTTAGACAGGAGGAACCAACAGACCATGTCCAAAGCAGACGGCGCGGCCTCACACACAGAAGCGTTCCCCGCATTCTGACAGCCCCAAATTCCGGCTGGCCAACAAAGCAGTGTGGAGTTTGCGCGCACAGCCAGCAAGGCCAGTCACGTCGTGACCGTATTGACTTGCGGCCTCCTGATAGAAGCTTCTGCAAAATGTTGTTGGGGCAGCTTGTCAACTCTCACAGTTTGGCCAGCTTGTTGGCCTTCACATGTTGCCCACGCAATGACCAAAAATATACTCATCGCTCTACTGACCAAGGATCCAGTCCCTTGATTTGCTTCAAAAGATGGCCGGCGAACATTTTCCTGAGCAAGTGTGCGTTGCTTTTGCCTTAGAGGACCAAAGAGACCGCAAATGGAAATTGCTAGAAAGATTGGAGTGAAGCGACGGGAAGTGAAATGAACACTGCAACTGCCTTTGCCCAGGCCACCAATGCCTTCCATCGCTTCCGCGCTTGGCGGAGCTTCCTCCATGTGCAACTGGAGGACCTGCTCCAACTGAGTTTTCCCGGAAAAACTGGCTTAGACAATTAGCTAGTGGCTATGAGAAATTAACCCTGCGTACTTGGTGGTTTGGATCCAATAAGAATACCTTGGCATCAGGTGCACCGAAGGGATGATCGTGCGATTTCTCGACCAATGAAGGCAAAGATTCCGACCAAGTTCACGATCAAAATGCTGCATGAAGCTTCACGAACTCTTCCACGATCCTGGGCCAGGAATACAAGCTACTGTAGAGGAAATTTCAGCAAATGTTTCGGTGAAAAAGCATTCAAAAAGTCCGTAGAAGGGTGTGGAAGTTCTGAGGGGGTTGTTGAAATCATCGATGTATTCAATCAGACAAGAATGACTGATAAGAACAATGCTGAAGGTGCTCCATTTGATCCAAGGATCTTCCCTTGAGGCAGAAGAGTGTTTTCAGGCTTGAAGTTCAATGATGCTTGATGTTCATGATATGATTTGGCATGTGCGGTCATTCGTTGCTCCTCTGTCCTTTTGTGTGTGTGTGGCATTGAGGCCTGGCAAGAGCTGCTGGGTATCCTTTTATACTTCGTTCGCTGCTGGTTGTGACGCGAGAAAAGGGGCTGCGCAAAGGTGATCACAGTGCTTGGCCGAGATTGCAGCGCAAAGCTAGCACAACTTTGTGTGTGTGTGTGTATTCAATGATGAGAAGCATTGTTCCTCGCAAGGCAAGAATCTTACTTGACCTTACTGCCTTCCAGGACGGCAAAAGATTGCGCAGATGCGAGCGTGGGGCAACTCAGAGCAGCTCAAGCAGTCTGCAGGGCCCCCACTGATATGTCTAAAGCCAAAATGCTCTGGGTACTTCTTAGGTTTTCGAACTTACAGACCCAAAGCCAATCTTAGATTCGTAACAAGGGGTTTTTTGGCGCAGGCGCCGCGTTTTGTGAGACCCGCAGTTTTCTTCGCAGTCAGATTGGGGCGCTTCAGGCTGTTGCTTCGAAGCTGTGTTTTCGTGACAAGTTTCAGCTAATGGCGGCTTTGGTGGATGGGAGCCTGCTCAGAACGTGTCGATATCATTCCAAATCTGTGGCGTGGTGCAAATTTTGCTGAAGACATGAACATGATTGAACATGTGATGTCATCGTTTTTGGTGGCAGGCGCAGGGAACCGCAAGGTCGCGATGTTCGGTACTCTAGGTGAATGTCGCTGTGACACTGGGATTGATGTGTCGGCGGCTGTTGTTTTGAGGGGCTGGGGCTGCAAAACTGCTTGGCAGGGCTGCAGAATGTATTGTCCCTGATGAGACTTCGCACTTCACTTTTGAAAGAAGTCTCCTACGAAACGCTCGTTTTCGACACTTTGATGCGATTTTTGGAGGATGTCTCGTATGAAACGCTCATTTTGCAGACTTGACGCATGAGTTTTGGAGGAAGTCTCGCGCGGAACGCTCGTTTTGCAGACTTGAAATGCGAGTTTTGGAGGAAGTCTCGAACGAAATGCTCGTTTTGCAGACTTGACGTGCGCCTTTTAAAGGAAGTCTCGTCCGAAACGCTCGGTTTGGAGACTTGAAAACTGTGAGTTTTGAAGGATGCCTCGCGCGAAACGCTTCATGTGGAGACTTGACCCATGACTTCTGGAGGAAGCAAGAGCGCGCAAGAGTGTCCCACAAGATGAGAGTGTCCCACAACGGCGTCGTACAAGAGTGTCCCGCCACAGTGTCGCGTGTGAATGTCCGACAAAATTGTCCCACAAGAGTGTCACACAAGAGAGTCTGACAAGAGTGTTCCAGGAGAGTGGCCGACAACAGTGGCTTCTAGGAGCTGTGCCCTCAGAACGCAGAACTGGCCATCTGGTGGTAGTACAAATTAAATGTAACACGGGAAGTTGGGCTGCGGCCTCTGGCAGTTTCGTCAGTTGATGTCAGTTGTAGTATTCTGCAAATGTAGTGTGGGAATTGGGAGTGGTGGCCTCACAACTACCCACCTGGTAGCACGGGAGGCAGCTTCTGGGAGCTGGCGGCAGCTTTGTAGTGCAAATGCTGTGGCTTCAGAATTGAAATGCACATGTAGCGCCGGATGGTTAAATTACGTTTGCCATGTCGCTGCGCCATGCGGTTTTGCACGGCCTCGGTAGAAAGTGCGTTCTCCTGAGTCCGTGCCATTGGGGAAGGAAAGCACGCTGGTGTAAAATCGGCGTGTCGCTGGGGAGTGGGGTGATTGGCGGTGTCGATTGGGGCTTGGTGTTACAGTGTTGTATCTAGGCACTAGCATGTACTAGCGTTAAGTCGACTCAGATTGTGTAAAGTTGACTCAGAACCGCGCGCTCAGAACCGCGCGCCCTTGCAGGACTGCACTCCACAGGGATGCCTTCGCGCACATTTTTTTGCTTTTCGCCCATGCTGTGCCTGATTGACGCAGAGCTCAGAGCTGCTGGTTTGCTGACGCTGTTGTTGCTGCTGCGCTGGTCGGTGGCTGCTGATCTGCTGCAGTTGCTGCTGGTTGGCTGCTGCTGCTGCTGCTGCTGGTGCTGCTGCTGGGTTGCTGGTGGCGCTGCAGCTGCTGAAAGATCTGGCGCTGGCCTGGAGGCATTTCTTTGGCTTAGAAAGCCTGTTTTGTAAAACGTCGCAAAGGCTTTGCCGTGACTTAGTCGTGGCGTTGTGTCACAGTGTGACTTGCTTGCCACAACTGCTTTGCAAGGACTTTTCGTGTCTGGGCGTAAATGATTTCGTTGACCGTAGGACAACCTGTGGGAGTCGTGCTCGCGTGAACCTCGCGCGGGGCTCGCGAAGAGGCCTACACTACACGTTCCTTGTGTGTGTACCCCTTGTAGTCACAGATATTCTTTTGAATTGTTTTTGTTTTCGTTCACTTCAGCAGGGGGGCGCAGAGCACAGTGGAGACTGCACCCAACGAAGCTATCCACTTGTGCTGGAAGCAGAGCCTGATCAGCTCTGTGTACCTGCTTGAATTTTAAGATTTTGCGAAGGCCTCATGCACTCTGCCGACACGAACGGCCGTCGTCACCCTGTCGTTTCGACCTCGACTTGCGAGTTGCGAGTTTGGCCCTTTCTCCGTTTGAGGACCCCGAGACTGCAGTGGTTTCCCACTTGTACTCTTAGGAAATGGTACCCTAGGCCGGCGTGTGGCACCGCTATCCGTCAGCGCGCATATCCATAAGTGTGTTTGGCCTCGCGCCAACCCGGGATGAGCCCGCAGAGTGCCTCCCGTGGACCCGTCGAACGGGGGTTTGTCCATGTTCCCCGGCTCTGGGAACGTAGATGTCCGCAGCGGACAGTAGCTGGCTCATGCCACAAGAATTTGGATGTTTGTCTCATCTTTGGAATTCCAAGTTGGCTCATGCCTTTACGTGACCGCGGCGGTCAGAGGTGGCCGCCCTCGGGCACGCCGTACGTGGTCGCAGCGACCGAAGTTTGTTCAAGGTTCATTGGAATCTGTCCCATTCTTAGGTGCACACACGGCGTATACATGCAAACGAGGCGGGGTCTTCCTAGGTGTTTCTAATGAGGTTCGGCTTCATCGGTTCTCGTCCCCTCCATTTGGTTCCCCTTTTCATCCTTTCCCCTTTTACACACTTTTTGTTTCCTCTTTTCTTTCATGTCCTCCTGTCTTCATGTCTGGTCATCTCATCCTTTTCTTCGTTTGCGCGCACATTGGTCCCGGCCTTAGTGTGTACGTGCACTTCTACATACCTTTAAACACAGGTTTCAGGTCGCCCAGGTCTTTACAATGAGGTGGGCTTCATGGGGTGTCCCTGTGCACTTGGTTCCCCTTTCATTTCCACCACACACACCTTGTCCCGTCTCGTCCTCTTGTCATGTCTTCATTCTTTTGCCCCTTGCGCGCGCACATGTGCACATTGGCCCTCACCTTAGCTTCACGCCTCCCCTCGGGGAGGGGTGTGTGTGTGTACCCCTTGTAGTCACAGGGATTCTTTTGAATTGTTTTTGTTTTCCTTCACACCAGCAGGGGGGTGCAGAGCACAGTGGAGACTGCACCCAACGAAGCTATCCACTTGTGCTGGAAGCAGAGCCTGATCAGCTCTGTACCTGCTTGAATTTTAAGATTTTGTGAAGGTCTCATGCACTCTGCAGACACGAACGGCCGTCGTCACCCTGTCGTTTCGACCTCGACTTGCGAGTTTGGCCCTTTCTCCGTTTGAGGACCCCGAGGTTCCAGGTTTCCTACTTGTACTCTTAGGAAATGGTACCCTAGGCCGGCGTGTGGCACCGCTATCCGTCAGTACGCGCATCCATAAGTGTGTGTGCGCGCGCGCAACCTGTTCTGGGTTTGGACTTGAAACATCTAGAAAGCAAGGCAAAGCCGCCAGCCATAACACAGTGCGCGCACACTTTTCCGTAAATAACATGTCGCTTTCATGCCACGCTCATTTTTCAAGTGTGCCCACTGTGCTTTGACCTAAATGAGTCGACTTCAGGCGAGTGGGTCGGCTACTCGCCGAAACCCTCTGCCCGTGCAGTGAGTTGGCTTCACGCGATGCAGGTTGACTTAAGTACGCCGCTTGTAGTCTGTGGCACGCCGTGTGGCCAAATTACGTCTGTGATGTCGCTGTGCCACGCGGTTTTGCGCGGCCTGGGCGGAAAAGTGCGTTTGCGTGGGTCCGTGCCATAGGGGAAAGGACCACGCGCTAGTGTAAATTCGTCGTGTCGCTGGGGAGCAGGATGACTGGCGGTGTCCACAAGGCTTGGTGTTGCATGGCTGTATCTAGTTTGCAGCGCGCCGCGTGGCCAAATTATGTTTGCGATGTCGATGCGCCATGCAGTTTTGCGTGGTTTTGGTGAAAAATGCATTTCCATGTGTCTGTGCCATTGGGGGAGGGAAAGCGCGCCGATGCAAAATCGGCGTGAGTCTGTGGCACCCAACAAGAGTGTCACACAAGAGTAGCCCGCAAGAGTTTTCCATACGAGTGAGTGCCCCATAAAAATCTCGTCCGACAAGAATCTCCTTCAAAAGTGTCCTACAACAGCGTCCCATGGAACTGAAGAGAAGAGACTCCCACAAGTCCACAAGACTCCCCCACAAGAGTGTCCCATGAGAGTTGGTTGTTCCACAAGAGTGCCCGACAAGAGTGTCCCACGAGAGTGTTCCACAAGAGTGTCTTACAAGAGTGTCCCGCAAGAGTGCCCCACAAAAGTGTCGCACCAGAGTGTTCCACAAAAGCATCCCACCAGAGTGTCCATGACAAGAATGTCGCACGAAAGTGCCCAGAGCAGTTTTCCACAAGAGTGCCTTACACACAAGAGTGTTCTACAAAAGTGTCCCACAAGAACCACCGCATACAAGAGTGGCAAAAAATGTTTGGGCGTTGGTTTTCGAGTGCGTGTTTGCATTCGGGTTCGTGGGTTCCATCTTGTTCTATTTTTCTGGAACTGAACTTTAGAAATCTATCAATGTAGATCCTGACTATCCAAAACCCTGATTTTGGGGCGCAATACAAACCAAACGTGATCTGGAAATATTGAATTTTGTAATTAAGGATGACTTTGTTGATACGAATTAAACATTAGCGGTGATGGATAGGCATGCTTCCTACGGAGAACACACCCGCCAATGGTGTTGCTAATGCCGCTACTGTTACCACAAGAAAAATCACTCAGATTAACGCCCTGGGGCCGTGAGACTAATTTGGGAAGGAATTTTACCATTTAGACCGCTGAAAAACCGGTAGCAGGAGCTTAGAACGTTGAGTTTTTGCTCGACAACTTGCGCTCGCCTTCCATTGGGTCCGATCATTCCATGTCCCAAACAAGTTGTTGAAGTCTCGTTGAAATAGCAAGCTGACACCATCGTCCCCTTACCACAATGACTCTCCAGTAGACCCAAGACCAATCACTCCAGCATTGACTGTTCCACCAACGTTTCCTATTTTTATTCACAGCATTGCAAACATAAGCATGTAAGTTTTTGGACCTTTAACGACAAGCAAAACCACTCATCTCGATTGTAGATCAATTCCCTGAGAAGAAGCCACAATGAAAGAATATTGAACCTTAATTATTTATGTTGATTTCTGAGTGCGTACTTAGTGCTGTCTTGGAAATTCGTTACCCAACTCTGGCACCTACAAGTCCAAAACCATGGAATAGACATGGTGCCATTTTCTGTTACAGGCATATGCACAATTCTTATATACTTAGTTTTGGTACCTCCCCAAACCTCCTATGAATGCGTAGCAAAGGGTGGGTGAGGACGCTCCCAAATTCCATGTCGATGGGCAAGTTAATGTTGACCAATCAACCATCACATGGGGAACAGAGAGTCAGTGCTGACAAACCATCCCAGCAGAAAGGAGTGCACGGCGCTGTGTGGGATCAATTCGGGTCGTGATGATAGGGTTTTCCGCTTGAAGGTGTTCTTACGTATATGCGAATCAAATCGTATCCCATGTATCCATCGTATCAGGACACATGCCCAGTTCTGTTGGAGCGCCCGCCTTATGCATTTTGGAGTAAGTTGACGCCATTTTAGGCTGGCAAGAGCGCTTTCGGATCCTGCGCTCAGGTCGGGACGGTCTAACGTCTGTGCATATTGAGAGTGTTGATCAACAAACAAGAGAGCTGCTCTGATGTTTGCGTAGCCTTGTGACAGGCCAGAGCAGGACACAGGCACCCTGCACTTTTGTTGAGAGAGAGAGAGAGAGTCCAACATCTCATTGTTTTCCCACAAATCACGTGAATTGTTGATCATTGTTCGACTTTGCTCTAAAACGACTCTCAAACAGCCAAGTTGTCCAAACCAAGATCTGTAATCCTTGAATTTGCCTTGGTCTTCGTTTAGTCTAGCCAACTCTAGCTTCAAAGCTCCAAGTACGCAAAGTTGGATTTTGGTACTTACGCACCCCACTGCATCGTTTGAATTACTTTGCAGGTGAAAGCAGGCCCATTGGAGAGTTACCTCTCCTGCGCGGGACCTATGTTTAAAGCGGATTGTTTTGGCCAATTAAACCATATATATATAGGTATAATGTAATATTATACTTGGGAATCGTTTCACCTGCAGCAACAAGAAGCTTTTTAGTGTCTTTGAAGCTTCTTAGTAGTAACACTGTCTAGTAACTAGTAGACATTCTGCATAGGTTGTTGCCTGCAGCGATCGCTTGAAACCCGGAGCTAGGCACCATGAAGTCTCGCATCGACTCGCCAAAGGCGAAGATATGTGGGGGGCTTGACACGAGGTAGAAAGTTATGGAGTTCGCTCTAGGCTTTGACGGAAAGTTATAAGTAAGTTGGAAACATTTCGTGCGTGAAGCCAAGGAAGAGCTTGGGCCATCCCTTAGGCCTTTGCGATGGCATTTGCATGGATACAAAAGCATTTCGCAGAAGAAATGCCATTCCGACTTTCAGGCTGCTATGGAGATGTCATTCAGAGTAGCGCGGCCACAGTGCCATTGAGGTGCCTGTTGCATGTTGGATAATGTTGGACCACTTGAGGTAGCTTTTATCGCTTTTTGAAACGGGCAGGTTTGGAGAAAAGCATAAGGAAAGCATTTGAAGCTGCAAATTGTGTGGATGGCACACAGAACTTCAAGCTTCTGGGTTGTTCAGATGATATGTCCTTCACATAGCACTGCAGGAACGTGGAGGTCATCACGAAGCAATGCCGAGCGCAGCGGGGCGAATGAGGTTGTACAGTTGATGCATGTTGATGCCTAAGGCATCGAGCTTTGTCGACCACGTTACGTTACGTTCTCCTTTAGCTTTGGCTTTTTTTATCATCTAAGCTGTTTGAATCATTTCTTTGCACGTTACGTTTTGGAATGCCCAATAATACCTACCGAGCCCCACAGCAAAGCATACACCGTCGAGGCGAACGTGTATTGCAATCGTAGAGTGCAGCATATTTGTTTGTATCCTTGGCAGACGCTTTTTTGTTGCATCAGCTTTCCGACTACAGCCAACCTCTATGAGGCAGTTGTGTTGTGTCACATCTTCAAAAAATGGCTCGGAGTAGACTTCCAAGGCGCAATACTGTCGAAGGTGCAAGAAAAAATGTTGCCGTGCATTGAGTGTACGTCGCACATGGCACATCATGCCACATGTCAGATGCCACATTCATCGACATGATACAATTTGTCACCACTATGATGACTATGTGACCGTGGATGTTTGTCACAGTCGGCACTGAGAGACGAGAGCGTGGGCGGTCAGAGGAAAGGAGTATACAGTGGACATCGGACCAACGTGGTCCAAAGGAACGAGAGTTTGTTCATCCAGCCGTTTTGGCTCAGACTGACATCTCTAGACCAAGACCCAGAGCTCAGAGCGAGCGCTGCTACCGCGTGCTCAAGGCACTATGCAAAGATCAACATTAGAATTGGCACGTGAAGAAGTGTAACTTGAAAGACTATTGCCCACCGTTGTATGAGTGTTGTTCTTTTTGCTCCTAAAACAGTTCGCTATGGATCGCTATGGTGTTTTGTGCCGCTTACTTTCGTTTGACACGCTCCAGGGAGCATGCAGTCGGCAAGAATTTGGGCAGCACGACTAGCGCGGTGGGGACGGGCTGTCGTGCTTGCAGCAGCTTGCTGTCTTATTCTTTAAAGTCTTTTCAACATGACGCTGAGTTCATTCCTATTTTGCTTGAGAGTTCAACCAGGGCGATCAATTGTAGTGGAGTCTGGAGTCCTGGTAGTGGAGGTCTTATGCCGATCCGCTACGGCACAAAGGTCCGGATCGGCAGACACTCTCACTACATTCGGAAGTGGTGGTACGCTGATCGTTCAGAGACACAGCTTGAGGTGTTTTGTGAGAAACTCAAAGCCCAATGATTGAGATTCCTTTGTTAAGGGCTAGATTCGAGAGGTGAAGCAAGCATGTCCAGAGGCAAATCAATTGGGGCCGTTTGCGGCCTCGCTGCGAGTGCAGGATTTGTTGCAGTCCCCTGGCAGTCAAGAATGTTTTGCACGTTAAACGGGGCAGTCGGGGGGCAAGTTCAACCAATGACGTGGTAGCTTTTGCAAGTTCATATTTGCAAAACCGCATTGCATTTTTACAGAGATGCTTCAGAGGTAAGCTGGATGGTACACCTGGACACCGAATCGGAGTTATGCTGAGGTAAATTTCCAAAGCAGCACAGTTCAATGCGACTCCTCATTCCACCCGAAGGACTCGGTTTTGCCAGGGATAAAATTTTGGAGGTCTGCATTGAAGAACTATATACTAGGCTGCTTCCACCCAGAACTCCTTGGGCTCCATCACCCTTTTGAGAGGCCTCTTAATGCGGCCAAGACCTTCCAAGTATTTTGTAGTGTCGGTGTCATTGAAAGAAATGGAAGTATAGACGTTAACCGCTTCCCGAAGGGTCAAGTGCAATTGCCGATGAAGTGAGGAGAATCGGAAAGCAGAAGCCCCACAGCTGCGCTTAAATATCTGACGATAATTGGCGATACATGGCATAGAGGAGATGCCCAAATTAGGGAGCGTTGTTGCGGGGCGTTCGGCCAAAGAAGCTCTAATGTACGAGAGAGAGTCAAGTCAAGGTGCTTTTCTTGGAACTTGCACAGTTGGCAGGTTGTCCTTAAACCAAGCGGGAGAAGGCAGAGTCAGGAAACCTGCACCAGAGTCAATTCGTCCGAATCAGGAAACCATTTTGTCAGAGTCAGGAAACCTAGAAACCACTTCACAATGTAACAATAAGAACAACATCAAGCAGGATAACGGACAATGAAGAAGAAGGAAGATGAGAAGGAGAAGGAGGGCTTCACTTCTTTAGGTTTTCAGTGGGCTTGGCCTAGGTGTTCACTTCTTTTGGGTTCTGTTGTGTTTGGGTTGTATAGGTGTAGGTCTTCACTTCTTTAGGGAGTCCTCCGGGTCATTAAAACCTTCGTTTAGCGCTTCACATCTTCAGTGTTTCTCCAGTGGAGCAAGAAAGAAGAAGGAGGAGAAGGAGAAGGGGCATCACTTCTTAGGGTTTCATGGGCCTTAGCTTAGGCCTTCACTTCTTTTGGGGGTTCCTGGCTCATCCCCCGACCGACTCATGGCTTCAAACTTTCAATGTTTCATCCGTTTCTTCCCTTGTTTCCCGTTTCCCGTCAAGGTTTCCGGCCTCGCTACTCTTTTCCCCCTGACTAGGCCACCAGGTCCCTCCAGCCCAAAAGGTGTCCCGCTGAGGTTTCCTGACTTGCATCCAAGGACGGTCCTCCCAAATTCAGATAAATTAGTCAGCTTCCCTCGCCGTAGATACCCTCCAGTTTCCTGACTCTGTCATCATCCTATAGCAAGCTGTTGGCCTACCGTATTTGTGCAGCATGTGTTTGCCAAGGTGCTATCAAGCCCTGCAATTTCTTTGCTTATGTCCATCATTCGACGCTCGCCAAAGTACATACTGAAGCAGCAAAGTGACACCCAATCGTGAGGGATTTTTCTGCAAGTTCAAGTTCAAGCATCCATTGTTCATCATTGTTCTTGCTCGTTGGACTAGCTTGCGTGCAAGACCTTGCATGCAACTTGCTCATTTGCGGATGATAAATCGCACTTAAGGTGACAAGAAGACTTGCCAGGCCTATAAGCATTCGAGTTCCAAGCCCTTTCCGCAGCTGTGCCCTCAAACCAGACATGTTGGCAGGTCGACTACGTCCGCGCGGCAGATCGCTTGATGGCTATCCTAGCAGAAGAGGGCATTGCCCGTTTACCCTCCGTGAAGCCGCAGGCCATGTTTATGTAGAAGATACGTACTTCAACCCACTGACTAAGCATTGCAGATTGTGTGGCAATGGAGCGCTGACTTCTTGTCAGGCCATTGAAACACCTTGCGGGCCATGTAATGGGCTGACCGTGCCTGACGGTCACACCATTTGCGCAGTGGACCGGTCTTGTGGCTTTGTGAAATGCCGGAACGTGTACTAGCGCAAGATATATCGAGATAGATGTCAGCACATGCACTTTGTCACGGGTTGGCACGTTTCCCTTTTCAGAAGAGTTGTTGATCTTTTGCATGTTTGTTTAGAACTTTGTAAATTAGAAAGAAGGGCAAGGAAAGGAGCAGAGAGGAGAGGACAAGACAGGAGAGACGCAATTCCCACGACCATTACAAAACAACATCTATGGATATGTATGATATGTATTGCCATTTGTTGAGAAAAGGTTTGTTTGGATTTGGGCCTTCAGGACATTGTGCGGTCTGGCGGTATTCTGTTGGAGGCAGTGCGGAAGGTCTTGCCGGACCTGAAGTGTCTTAGCTGATATTGTTCACCATGTTTTCTTTTTATGTGCAGTTCTCTTTTGGTGGTAGATGTGAAATTGAAGACCCACTTGCCAGGACGGCCAAAATCTTGATCCAGCGGGATGAGGACTGATCATTGAAAAATATTGAAGGGACGAAGAGTGCCCATTCAAAGGAGACTGCGCTTCCAAAGCTGTACTACTCAAAACTTCCAGATGGAATTGAGAAGTTGCTGCTTGGATTGCCCTTTGTTTGGTTGCGTGCAGTATGCGGAATATTTTCTATGTTTGGTCGACTACAAGGCTATCGGATGTATAGATTAGTTGCTTGCCTGGGACATAAACACATGTCCGTGTAGTGCGCAGACGCTGTAAGAGTTCGATACTGCATTGATGTTCGTCAGGAGGCCTAGAGAACAAGAAATAAGTATAATAAAAACAAAAACAAATGTGTGTACTTAGGCCCTAGCAATTTCGATGTTTGTGCCGACATGCTCCTGCCCTGCCAATCTTGAGACGAGTTCAAGTGATTGCTCGACCATCACCACCTCCTTTAGGAGGTCAGATAAATTCACCACGCTGTTGCTTCATCCAAAGGTAGGAAGATGTAGGATATAACATGTACCTACTGTTGTTCGACCTTTGACACTTGATATACACGTAGTTTTCCGATTCATGCTTCAAATTGTCATGTTAGTCATCATTAAAGGAACAAGAGTTTTTGTTATAGCAATGAGTTCACGTTGAAAACTAAGAACATGAAGGAGAATGAGAGGAGTTGCTTACGTTGCAGACGGTGGTTCTATACTTTACAATCTAAAAGAGCAGTACGTCTCTTTCAGTTGTATTGTAGTTCCTACTCTTTATCATCTTCAATTCATGATCGTTTAACGATCGTTCATATTCATACTTCTATTTACGAACTGTTTGCTGTAACCAAAAGGGCTGCGGTCGAGACTCATGTACACTTGATGATGAAAATTAAGCTATGTACAGTGGCACTGATCTCTATTCAAAAATGCTTCACACTCGTTCTTGGTAGTGTGAGCGGTTGAATTGCTACTCTGCAGGCTTTTGCATTTCTCCAAACCACGGGGTTCCCAGAGATTGGTGGTATCTCTGTTTGTGGTCTATCTCGAAAGTCTCTCCTCATGTTTTTTGTATGGCAGCACTGCCTTTCCCAAAAAAGAAATAGCATAACATTGCCTGAGAATGTCTTGCACAGATGAAATCCACACCACCTTGGTAGCACTGCTTTCTAAGGTTTTGCAATCCAATCGTTTTAGCCACTACACAACCTTCTTACCTTTTCCTTTGGCATCTTGGACTCGATCAATGTCCATTGGCATAGGTCCTTGATAGTCTGTACTGCTACTTGCCACCACGGAAGTAGTCCACTTCTGTTGAGAACGATCCATCCCATTGCAACACTTGTTCCCTGAGCATCGAATTGTCAAATTCAAGTAGGATTTGAGTTGTCCGCCTGCACATCTCAAAAGAATAGCAGATTTCAACTCTTCCCGAATTGTTGTCCCTGACTTGACTGTCTCATCAAATACTTCTTCGAGCTTCACGAGTTGAGGTTGTAGCACACTGTTCGTTGAATATGCTGGGCATGTAGTGGCTGCTCCCAAACTCCCCCAGGCATCAAATCCATTGGAGCCCTCCACAGCTCTCACCACTTGCAGTGCCCTTCCTCTCATCAATGAAGCTAACAATCCATAAAGCTTGATGCCCCTCCCTGGCCTTCTCTGCCTCATTTGCCAAGTCCATGTCAAAGCTTTCATTTGGCTTTTCATTAATTTCTTTCAAGTCCTTCACGTAAGCCTCATCAACTGCAGTCAAGTACTTCGCAACGACCCACGACCACTCTCTCAATGCCTTGATTTCTTCTTCTTGTGGCTTATAGTCAACGATGTTGGGCTTTGCTATCAATTTTGACCAACCTGTTGTTGATGACTTTTTGTCTTCAACTGCTTTCTTCACTGCCTTAGCTGCTGATGTTGTTGCTTGCGTACTCTGTGTTATAATTGCAAGGATTTCCATGATCTCATCCATCTCCACTGTATGCTAAATGTCTTTCTAACACAACGTACTGGGTACAGAGTGTCGCTCACAACAATTCCTCACCAGTCCGGCTGTTTGGGTCCAAAGGCCCCAAATCTATGGTTCGAAATCGCACCCGGGATCCCAGTGACCTAGGGGCTTTTCTTCCTGGAGCTCAAAAGGGGTTACCACTGCTCCGCCATACGTACTTTTTGCTGTAACCAAAAGGGCTGCGGTCGAGTCTCATGTACACTTGATGATGAAAATTAAGCTATGTACAGTGGCACTGATCTCTATAATATTACTGAATGTGTTTCACACTATTAGTTTCTCACTCGTTGGCTTCGAAGAACAAACATGTAGCAAAACCATCCTTGTATGTGTACATCTATATATATATACATTTATATATCATGTATGACACGATACAAAGTTCTAAACAAATGTAGGCTCATATAAGGATTCGCACAGTCTTCAAAATCAACCTGGTACAGTCTACTATCTCTTACGCATCGTATCCTTTTAGAAGACCTACCATCAGTCTTCAAGTTTTTCCTTTTTTTTGCACCACTTAATATATACATGGTTAAGGTGTACACAAACATCACATCTATTCCCTTGACACTGCATTCACAACTCTTGTCCACATTAAATACACTTACGTTTGTCACAACATTTCTCATATGAATCTATTTACGCTCGACGTCAACCCATGTCACTACCACTCTTTTCTCTATCATCTATTGTTTGTGCCAACCTACTGCTGGCCTTGCCAATGACAAGTTCAAGTGACCAGTCAGAGGGAGTCCCCAAGACAATCCTGGACTAGGAGGAACAAGGATAGTTGCTCCGCGCACACATCCTTTCAAGGAATGTGGTGCTTTGTGACCCTATGTTGGCTACTGGTGGGTCGGCTTTGACTGCTATTGAGGCACAAGATTTGTTTCATTGTTTCGTTACAATTCCACAAGGGACAGTGAATGGCAACTTTGCGCACTTGGGATTGAACTGAACTACTAGCCATACCATTGTTGTGTTTCCTTCTCCAAGGCTACGTGACTGTTTCATATTTGTGTTTTTGAACAGGTTTTAAAGAAGGTTGGCGTCAAAGAGGACGGAAGACATGGAGATTTCAGCTGTCACATGTTGCGAAGGGTTGAGTCAAGTTGGCAGGGATCATTCCAGACGCGTCCCTCGTATTTGTAAAATGGGTTCCTTGCGTCTATGTAAACGAGTTTAACCAGCAACAAGAACTTATCCTTTAGCAGCAACAATACCTCGCCATGAACAAGTGAACAACGTCACTTAGTTTCCGGCAATCCACTGTCACACTACCAGATCAAATCACGATGACCCTTGCGATAAAACCGTCCGTGATCTCCAAAGCTTGCCAGCCGAGTGTCATGCAATGTCAATGCTCACCCTCACCCATCTCTTCAGCCAGCATTGGCAGTGGCGTCATGATAGGGCCATAGGCCATAGGAATTCACAGGGTGCATTTTTTACAACAACTTCGATGGCCATTTGATACACCGCCGCCACCAGCACAACCGTTTGATCCTGGCATTATGGTGCAAGTTGACCATTGCACACTTGCCCGTTCAACTTGATCACAAAGACCCGACCCTAATACACAAGTATATAAGTCGAACACCTCTCAGAAGAAGCCTGTCACAACTGCTTCCGAAAGAGCAACAATGAATCGAGCCGAGAGTTTTCAGCAGGCAACATCCATTCATGACTGATCAACTCTCCCCAAATATGCCAAGCAGGGCGCCAGGAGCTTGCAGTTGCTGAGCTGTGAATACTCACTCATGGGAGCTTGCAATTGCCTAACGACGATGCACTAACACGAATCCTCAATCCTATTTCGCTTGAGAGGATACCTACGTGTATCAAGAACTTCCCCGCAACAAAGAGTTCTATTTAAAACACTGGCTCACCATGCCATTGTGCGCCAAGAGTCAATCAATTGACTCCATCCCCTTGACTACGAGTTCCTCAATGAGAGCGCTTGCTTCTTCCATGCATGCTCATGGTTCTCCATGCATTTGTAATTCGCGTCTCACAGCGCTTTTGGGATTTTTTGGGTTTCGTTCATCATTTGGGGTCTCTTTGAATTTATACATATATATATAATTACAGTAGATTTGTATCATGTGTCTCTTTGATACATAGCCTTGACTTCCGCTCAGCCACCCATGTATCCACGGGTGAAAGCGCACCACTTCACCCTCGCAACAATTGTCCAAATCAACGATTTGGGTAAGAAAGCCCCAACCACTTCACTGCCACAACGGTAAGCACGCACTCTTTCACCAGCGATCAGGTTTGCACATTCTGTATCACGTCAAAACAACTGTAAGAACCCCCCGCATCACAGCACCAGCGCCAGACCCATACCGTTACCAGCAATATGCACTTCTCGTAGAAAGCCAACAAAACAAAGCATTCAACTATGTACGGCCACCTGCCCACTGATTGCGTTTTACAAGACATCCGTTTCATGCGTGTTGTGGTCATCACGGGACATGTGGGATTGCAAATGATTGCGAATGCTTGCGAGGTAGTATATTCATGAATGCTGATTGCCATGTGTTTTGTCTGTCCACTTTCAGGAGAACATTCTCTTCATTAATGTCGTCTCTTGCCCCGAGGGCTTGAAAGCCTTGGCGCAGAAGGCGATCGGCTTGAGACAATCGTTGGAATTGTGCAACCTTGGTGGGAAACCGCGGTTGGTTTCGATAGGCCCCTGGAGTTCGAATATTGACCTGTGCGTTGGATTCCCATCTCAACGAGGCGTGGAAGAGAGGCACACCTAGTACATCACACGTCCAGGAAGCTTCAGTTTTACTTTAAGTAGCCAGAACCATGGTAAAACAACTAGCTAGTTTCACCCAGTGCGCAAGATTTTGCAAGTGTAACTTTGAGGGGAGAGGGTATGTTGTGTTCATACTTAGATATGATCAAGCATATTCTTCGCTGCTTGGATTCGGCATTTAGATGTCTTGCTGCTTTGTTTGGTGCGTACGGCTGTCACGGGAGTTTGACTGTGGATCATAATGCTTCGGCGTTCTTCTATCGCCAGGTGAAATTCATTGTGCCTGGTCTTGGTGACTTTGGCTGCTTGGATGCCCTTGGCAAGAGTACTTTGGAGATACTGCTCCCAAAGTTGAGAATTTATAGTTACATTTTACTGTATTGTTATAAAGTTGCGATAGCTATCCAGATGGCTATCCTAATGGCTTGTCTTATCTTGTTTTGTAGATGCTGGAGGTGATCGCTACTATGGCACCTTTGGTTACGCTGAAGGCCACCTGTTCAAGTCAGTGCTGTGATTTGGCTGTTTCCAAAAGCGTAGCACCATGAATCATATATCTATTGAACGTCGATGGATTTGTTTGTGCATGTTTGTGCAAAAGACTGTTGAGGCTTATGGGGAACGGATGGCAGATGACAGAACAGAGTATGGCACTTGCATCGTTTTGCGTGCATGGATTGTGCACTGGCATGGACCGGTAGCAATAGTGGCGTGTCCATTTTCAGAAGTGGCGCCTGTCCAGCAAAAAAAGAACAGCTACACATGAAGGCAGCGGTATTTGCATGTTCTGGGCTTATTCTTGTTGCTTCTCCCCAAGGAAAATCATTTTGGGTTGTGCTAAAACGGCTAGAGCGGCTAGAGAAATATGAAAGATTTGTTGCCCTTCCAAGCCAGCTTGTGAGTGTCTAGTTGATTCGCGCCGCAAAGCGATGCGTTTCATACGATATTGTGGTGTAAGGCATGATGCTCGTCGCAGGTTAGCTCACAATTTTGAGGGTCAGCTCCAGCCTAATCTCTAGTTTCTTTCGTGCAGCGGAGTCAGAATTTGCCAAGCTGCACTAAGTTGAATTAAAGAAGAAGGGTCCCTCACAATCAGGAATTTGTGTATGTCACTCAAACAGACCAGTCTTCATTTAGTGATGATTGTGTTCTTGGAGCAATCATAGGGCCAGCTTGTTTGACGTTCGGGTCAAAAGGTTCATAGAATGTTCCTGACACGTCAGCCGTTGAGACTTGAGACATTCCAAAACACTACATCGTGGCCACTCGAATGCTCGAAGTTCCTTAGCTCGAGCTACTTGCTTCAGCTGCGGTTTATCCGCATGTTTTGCAGCTGTAGCATGCTTCGTACCGTTTGGCCCTTGTATTTGGGCCTACGGTCACCTTTGTCACCTCTCACCTCAGACGCCTCGGCATTTGCCTCCCTGTTGACTGTGAAGACTGAGACCCGTGTTGCTGAAGTGTCTTTGTCAGAGGAGTTGCCTTTGAACCTCACAGGGAATGGTACAAGTGGGAACGCGTCTGTTGATGAAAGGCTGGAAGACATCTTGGTTCAGAACCTGAAGCATGGGATGGAAGACCTAAACAACATGGGAGATATGGAGAATACCACCGACCCAGTTCGCCATGGTCTTGGGCATTTGGGCACCAACCTGGAATTCCTGATGCTAAAGGTGGCACAGTTGGAAACTGCAGTTGAGCTGCAGCAAGCACCAATCAAGAAGCAGGAAGAGGAGATCCGCAATCTGCAGACGCCAGCCCCATCATGCTGAACACTCGAAGTTCATGTATGGATATGACCTGCCGGAAAATGTACCTGACGATCAGTTCCTGATCCTGAATCCAGCAAAGGATTCAGCTGAAAAGGTCATCAACAAGCTGACACTTGTTTTGTCCACAGTCCAAGATGATGAAATGATGGAGATTGGCTTTGCCAAGAGCGAAGAAAATCGTCTCCGATAATATGCTTGGGAACAATACTTGCTCTACGCCTACAACGCGGCGATTTTCCGACGAAGAGCTAGAATTCTCCAGTACAGTGCACTGGTGCTTTCAGTTGTTGTGACCGTGGTTGCTATCTTGTATCGCGAAAGCACGACGAACCCAGACTCACCTTTGCAAAAGGAAGAGCTCAGAGTGAGCTTGCTGGTCCTGCCCTGTGTGAGTGCTTCTGTTCTGACCTCAATCAGCCGGTTGAACTTTGTCAACAAGTGGGCAGCTTTGGAAAGCGGTGCTGTGAATGTGAAGAGTGAGATCTATCAGTACCGCTGTCGTGTGCTGTATTACCAGCCTCGGAAGTCCAACGACATGGACATTGAAGATCGCGTGGAGGAGCTCTGTGACAATCCTCCTAGCACCGCTGACCTAGCCACCCTAGCAGCTCTGAAGAAGAGGCAGAAGAAGGCTGAGGCAACAGCCCCAAATGGAATAACTCGTCGAGGCACTTTCTCAGCAGCTTTAGCGCAAATCAACTCTGATGCCACAGGCTCGGATGTCCAGGCTGATTACTTGTCTATGCCGCCAGCTTCGGCCATGGCAAAACTGAAGGCTAACCTCTATGACTGGGACAAGGTGCTTGCCTCCTACCACCAGCGCACTTCCTCCACTTCCTGTTGCAAAAGGCTCTGCAATCCCTGCAGACGTCCTTCTGCGAAGGTTATGGATCTTGAGGGCGGCCCATGGAACCAGGCTGGCAGCGATTTCCACCCAAACCCCTTTGCAATTGATGACGACTATTTGAATGATGATGGAACATCTCTAGTGACGGCCGAGGACTACATCCATTTCCGATTTTTGCCCATGCTTCAGTACTACTCTTGGCGCAGCCGTGACCTTTCAAGGAAAGTGCTGGTACTCCAGGTCTTGACCTACTTTCTGACCGCGGCACTGGCGGCTGCAACTCCTCTCGGCTACAAAGCTTGGATGCCAGTCCTGGTGTCCTTCATCTCCTTTTTCGCGAGGATCATGGAATTTGAGGCCTTGTCGTCTCAACTGCGCAATGTCAATCAATCCTTGGAGTCGCTCAAGAACCTTCATTTCTGGTGGCAGAGCCTTTCAATGGTCGAGCGGCGAATGCCCTCCAACAAGAACGAACTAGTGGCTTGCACAGAGGCGACGGCCGACAGTGAGATCTCCGCGTGGAAAAAGACATTGAAAGTCAAGAGTGTGACATCTGGCGGTTCAAGTGGGAAAGAAGAGGCTGAGGAGGATCCGGATTGATGTTTGTCGGATAGCGGATAGCCAAGCCCGGCATGCGCATTTTTCCACTGCAGCGCCCAAGGTGCCAGCACTGGAGTAGCCAGACATGTCGAGACTGATTCAGTTTCACCAAGTAAAGCTGAAAGACACAGATGCCACAGAAAACAGGCCTGCCTGTTGCGTCAGGATGTTTAGTATATACTACAATGTACTACATGTGCGACCTTGATGTCGCTTCCCTTGCACATGAACTAGTTGTTCGTTTTGTTTGCATGCCTTCCTATGGCTCAGACACAAAACATGACATGCAGAGAAGGATATTTGGCTCAACTTGCTCACTCTGCAGCTTATAATTAGGCCCAGATGTAGTGTGTCAGCGCATACTCTCCAATGGTTGCAGGCTGCCAAAGTTGGTGCAATCATGGGTTCGATGGAAGGAGGCAGAGAGTAAGCAATCATGTTCTTATCCTATCGGCTTATGACATTTTATGACTTATTAAATAAAGGCAATTATATAGTTTTTGTATGCCTACAGATAGCTTCTTGCATAGCATACGATGAGCTGTTTATCCTTTGGAGTCTCAAAATGAAGACAGACCACCTTTGAGACTTTGTGAGGCGATGAAGGAGAAGGAGACGGAGATCGTGTCTCCATCACCTGTCGCATGGCAGTTTTCAGCCTTTGGTTATTGCGATCCATATGAGGATGACCATTTTCCACCCTTCGAGTCTCCATCTAGCTGAATGGGTTTTCTGTCCCATCCATACATGATTGGCTGACCTTTGCCAGACCCTTTCTTTGCCTGCTTCTCCTTGGCTGGTGGTGACTTCCGCCACTCTTCCCATTGGCCTTGCCATTGCTTCTGCGCTTTTCCCTTGAAATCTCTTGACTCTTGCTCGGGCCCTTTGTCTTCTACGTCTTTCCCAACGGTGCCACGTCGGAGACCGTTCCCGTATGGCGACCGGCAAAGAGAGAGAGGGGGCTTGAAAGCGACACCTTTAGTGTCTGGGGCTACCAGGTCGATCTTATTTCTAAGCAATCCTGAGCCTTTAGAGATCAACTGAGGAAATGAGGAGGATTGGGCAGAGCTGTCACAATCTCTTTGCGAAGATTTGTTGTCCAGCACTGAAAAGCATGAGAAGTTGGGTGGCCTCCGGAATCTTCCTTTGAAGACTCGCAGCTCGGTAGCTGTAGCTGATTTTTTTGTCAGTGAGGTACAAGGAACGACTGTAAATGGGGCAGGGGGGTTGTAAATCTCTGAGAGTTGTAGATGAGAGATTGGCATGCCCTATCAGGGCCCTATCATGCTCTCACTTGTCAGCCTTTCTGGTTGTTTTCAGTCATTTCTTCAACATGAGTTTGAGGTGATTGACTGCGCGAGTTCATTCTCAATCCAAATTTGTTTGATGAGAAGTTGAAGGAGATCTTGGAGCTTGTTCAGGAGGATGACAGGAATCCATCTTTGCCACAAGCTGCTCTCACTGCCAGAGGCCTCTTTGCGTGTGATATCTTGCGTTCTGCGCTGCACAAGAGACACAGGGTCGAGTTTGGAGTGGACAACGTGACTTGGCGCTGTCAAAGATGCTCCGAGCAAGAGGACCGAGTGAAAATAGATAATTTAGGTCTGTAAAAGCTTCTTGTTACTAGTAGTAAGAATGCGCCTAGTAGCGATGCCAGGAGCCCCTAGTAGCGTCCTTGCTCCTAGTAGTGAGGCCAGGAGACCCTGGTAGCTTTTTGTTACTAGTATAATATATGCATTTTACTCGGTTTTATGTGTTCACAATTTGTAAGGCAATACAATCCCCGAGTATTTACATTACAATCCTCGAGCGACAGGACCGAGTTTGGTCACCCTGATTTGGCCATCACTTTGATGCTGCGCACCTATGCTGAAGATGGTTTGACTCGTCAGTCATTTCACCGCGTCCTGCAATGGTTGAAGGACTTGCCTCTCAAGGAACAAACGCGTCACTACAGGCTTTGGTTATGGGCTGCAGCCATTGAAGATGACTTGCAGACGGGCTGTTCACAAAGCCGTCGCCAAAAGGCTGAAAATCCCAAGGGCTGGAGAGGGCTTGACCTTTGATGATGCTTTGGCCAAAGCTGGCCCAGAATTTGCAGGTTGTCGAGACTTTCCTGGAGGAGTTTGTTTTTCCCAAGGAAACTCGACAATTTCCGTTCAAGGCCCATTGCTGTATGAAGGGCCCACGTTGAAATAATTTCATGTGTTCCTTTGCAATCCAGTGATTCGTGCTTCTGT